AGATTACAAACTACAGCAAACAGATCAAGTTTATGCTACAAGTCCAGTGAGTCCAGTGACTGAACAAAACATACCCAACTACTCCGCTAACAATGAGTATTCAACAGAGCAAGAAGAGACCGCCACATTTCAAGACGTTGAAGCTACAAAGCTCAGTTTAGTACAAACTGAAGAAAAAGTAGTTGAAACTACACCATCATATAATAGAGTAAGAGTGCGACCTAGTTTGGTTAGACAATATCATCAAGTATCGTCTACAGAATCATCTAGAATAAAAACTGAGAGAAGAAAATCAACGCAGCAACCCATTACGTACAGACCAGCTTTTGACAGACGACGGACAACAATGCGAATTGAAGAAATTGAAGCAGACCTAAAAACTAAACCCGTGCATTCTCGCCCAGAATATGATAACCACAAACATCCTGTGTATAAACCAGAGCTCTCTACAGAAGCTACACTGCAATCTCAAACAACAGAAGCTGGTAATAAACGTGGTCAATTTAGACGGAGGAGACCAGTCTACACTACGACTTCTACGGAATCTACATCTAGAAGACCATATGAAGTAAAAAACAGATTCCGGGGTCGACGGCCAACAGACAAGCCAACAGATAAGCCTGAAGTACAAACAGAAATTTCAGCTACATCAACGTCAAAAGGTCCTCTTTACAACCGTTATAATCATCGAACTAAACTATCTGAGCGGTTTAATAAGAAGCCTGAGCAAGAGGAAGCAATTACTGAAGACCAAGAATCAAATTACTCAATTAACAGGCCCAAATACGCTTCGCCAGAATCAGATAAATGGTCACCTAAAATTTCAAAAGATTCATTTAAGCCTTATAATCCTAATGAACTTGATGATGATACAAAATCAGAAACAAAGCATGTAGAAGACGAATTAGATATAATAACTGCAAGAAACGAATATGAGGATATTTTGATATCTGTAACACCTGCAACTAACAAAAATAACAGAGTAAACAAAAAAATCGCAGATATTCCGCCAACTTTGGAAGCATATGTTGAACAAAGTAAAGTATCCAAAACTGAAGCCAGTGACCCATCGTCTACATTCGAAACGATGTTAGAAGAAGTCATGAAAAGCTTGGAAGAACAGGATGAAGATGAATATACGAACAAGGTTATGAAACACAAAGGAGGTGAAATCGGAGAAATACCTCCTGAAAAAATCATTTCATCAGGCGTAAATTATTCTTTGAAATCAACTACTCCCGTCCAAGAAGAAACGACAACAACAGCGTATCAAACAACAACTGAAGAACAGACTCAGGAAAATTTTGAGGTAAATTCAATTAGAAAAAAATATTATTAACTTAAAATAGTAATAAATACCTACTTAAAACAGATACTATAAAAGCGTTTCTTTTTATATTTCAGTTGGAATCGAATCCTACAAACCGTCGTCGCGGATTCTGGAAAAAGGTCAAAGTACGCCCTTTAACAGAGTCGTTTGAAGTAGCTGAATCACAATATTACTCAAATACAGTCAACACGCTTGGTCAGAGCATATCCAAAACATTGGATAAATCCGGTGAAAACACAAAGAAGAAAATCAAGGTAACAACATACAAACCCAGTTATCAGTTCATAAAAGATTTCTTTGAAAACGAAGAAGATATTTACGATGTGTCACCTGATATTGATATACCCAGAATTAATGCAACTCACCAACTTAAAGCACACGCTGAAAAATTAATACAAATTACAACAGAATCAACTACATCAAAGGAAACCAGTGCTAGTAGTGTTAATCCTGGTGATATGGATTGGGGTACCGGTTCACCCGACCCTACCTTTGAAGATGCATCACTTTACACTGAAGCTACTCAGCCCACAATAGATAGATCTGATGGTTTTAGTTTCATGGAATACCTATTTGGCATGACTTCTGATGATGAAGTGCAAAGAAAAAGAGAAATAGAGGAAATAATAACTAAAAGTCCTGATCCAGAAACAGAAGCAACAAAAGGCACAACTGAGACCTATATACCCGACGAAATAACTGCAGAAACAATGACAGAAACATCAGCTACTGAAATTCAGAGAAATACTACAGAAACTTCAATTGAAATGGAAAATTCATCAATATCAAGCTTCATGAAACCTTCGAATATCATTAGTACATCAATGTCAACAGAAGTCTCCCACGAAACGGAAATCTGTTTTAGGGGCAAATGTATAAAGACAAAGAAAGACCTGTTATAAAGTGGTGTAAGTTCAAACATAGTGTAACACTAGTAAAATTGTGAAAAGACACTTCTATAGACTATACTTTAATGAAATCTTGTAAATAGTGATTACTCTTTACTTGATTTCATTTTGATGCCTTATAAACGGTTTAAAATAAAATATTTGTGCTTTCATACTTCTATACATATACCGTACATGTACTTTATTTTTGGTGCTTAATTGAAAGTGATAATAATTATTATTTCTTTCTTAAAGTTATTTAAAGTTATAGGACAAATATTAGGTGAAGTAATTATAAAATATTAGAAATTTTACATTTTATGAACTTCAATACATAAGCACAATGTTATGATGTAACTATCATCATTTAGAAATAACATTTGGAAGGTTAGTGGCATTCACTATTGCTATGTAAATAATATTATTAACTACTCTAAGATTTTATATTTTTGTATTATATTTTTGACTGATTTGTAATCAATTTTAGTATAAGTTTATTATACCCTATTTATTATTTAAACTATTAATTATTTCTTATTAGGGTATTTCAGAAACAGTGTATGTACCCCACCCAAAGGAATATCTGTTAAATAAATACAGTGGTTGATTTCTGTCAATGTGTATTTGTAATAAAACATTAATAAATTAATACTTTTATTTTATACTAAGATAGTACTCCTGTACAGCTTTTAAAGTCAAAAGCAATAAAAATCAGTGGCGGATTTATAGATTTGCCGCCCGTAGGCTATTCAATTTTTGCCGCCTCTAAATTTTGATATCTTAGTCCACAATCATATCAATTTTCTATTAATAAAATTCCAACATTATGATTTGTGCTCCATCATCCTCGTTACATCAACTTTTCCCATATAGTTATTATTATTGAGAACTATGTTAGATCCTTGATTATTTTTACAGCAAAGAATTATCAAAAAACATTATTTTAAGGAAAAAATATCTCAATCGTATACCACTTTTAAAGTAAGGTAAGGTATGTCTTAAAACTATACAATACTTACAAAATATGAATTAAGCTTACGTAAAAAACATACATTTGGCGAACGTTGATTAACATTTATTATTACACTCACAGTTTAAAAACAATACAATAAATATATCTTTTCTTTATTATTTGTTAGCATTATGATTTAAGTTAAATTATAAAAGCATTACAATACTTTTTTGCGAGACTTTGAATTCGCAAAATCATTTATTATATCGTCGTACGAAATCTTGTTCATTAGCTCTGACTCTATGCACAAGAGAGCTAAAGCGTTTAGCTTTTCTTGACTTAAAGTCGATCGTAGGTAGTTCTTTACTCTCTTCAAGCAAGAGAAGCTTCTTTCACCTGAACAATTTGCCGCTGGTGTACAAAGAGCCATACGAAGTGCTATATCCAAGTTTGGATAAATGTTTCCTAGATTCTGTTCTTGCAGGAATGAAGACAGACTTATTAATGATCCAGAAATTGGTTTTATTGAAATTCTTTCAGACTTCAGATTGTTTTATCTTATTATAATTCATTCATTCCGATTGGCATTTTCTGAAAAAGTTGGCTTTGCGAAAAAGTTATCAAATCTACTGATGTAAACATTTAATTTAAATAATTCGTGTACGACATTAGCGCTTAAGGCCTGCTCATTTGGATTTTCCAAACTTTTTCTTACTGCAAATAAAATAATTAACTGATAAAATGTATCAATTTTCTAACGAGCAAATTGTCACACTTCATATTTTGTGGAGGGAATTTTTTTATTGTCAAGTCACACAGTCGTTCAACTATCAGTTATTTGATTAATATGATCTTTATAAGATATTGAACTAGTTTTTTATTTAATAAAAATTAGTCAATTTTAGTCAGTATTTTTACTAGACCATCGATATTATATCGATTGACTTGGATAAGCAGATCTCATAATTATTAGGTACACGGAGAAAAAATTATAGCAGTTATCAGTGAAGAATATAATATGTAAAAATTACTAAATTTCGATTATGATATCGAATCGCGATATTCTAAAACTTCATAATCATTTATGTATAATTATTAAAGCTAGGAATTGTTCATGCAGAGATGTTGAAATATTTATTAATTAGCACTGTATATGAGAATATTTCGATTTTTGTAAAATATTTTAATTTCTCTCCAATTTTCGAAATTCGTATTATGTGTGTGTGTATAATAAATTTTTTTTTTAATTTGTAAACCGAAATAAAAAATTTATGAACCAAATTTGCCGCCCCTTAAAATTTGCCAGCCTACTCAGCCTGCTGGTAAATCCGCCACTGATAAAAATATCATTTTTATAATTAAAAATAATCAATAATAATATATGAAGCTGTACCTTAAAATATACTTATTGAAGTTTTATATTAATATTGCGTAACATTAACTGTAATTTTTCTCGCTAACCTAAGATCTATCAAATACATAAGAACAGAATATATCCACACCAGGTATCCCAAATGTAACTAAAGATATAATATGGAAGACAATGCTTCATCACTAAGATATTTAGGAAGCAAATAGTTTTAATTTGTTGTTCAGCCGGTAAACTTTTTCATTTAAAAGGAACGTAGAACCTACAGAATATATCATACAATACTGGACATAAAAAACTACTTTAAGCTTCAAAGAAAACTTTAACTAAAATGAATGATAAGTCTTAGTAAAAAGATTTAAGCCAAAAAAGTAATGATTACAAATGTAGAAATATTATTGCAGTATGAAAACTAAAATTACTATTAATATTTTCAAATGTTTTATCTTGAGATATAAGAATTTAGCCTACAATTTCACAATCATCATCATCAACAAAGCCACCATTAAGCGCATCATTTAAAATACTTTCTTTGTGTTTCTTTAATTCTCCATTAATAAAGGTTCGTCGCTCCTCTTTCAATTTCAACTGTGTTGCTTTTTCGTCGCTTTGACGAGGTTCCAAATTTTTTTGTAAATGTGTAAATATTCATGGTAAAGTCCTCTTCAAAGATAGCAAGGTTTATAGAAGGGCCTGTCTCCACGGTACATAAGTTTTCTTGTAGCTTACCTATGTAATCAAATGATAGGTCAAAACTTGATGGAATTGGTACATATATATTCACTTTATGCAATTTATTTGGCCTCGCAACGATGTAAAGCGTATCTATGTCTGTATTGTAACAATATTCGGTATCGTACATAAGTCGATCATCCACTAAAGTTACGTATAAATAAAGAGCTAGAGAGATTTTTTGTTCACTAGTGCAGCCAAGGGCTTTCATGTCTTCTTTTATTTTAGCTTCCACATCCATGGTAATAATCAGTTAATACTTAATAGATTTATCTTAGGGATTAGTTTGTTTGTTTACATTATAGTTTACAAAAACTACGAAATGCAGAACAAAACCGATTATGTCAATTGTCAATAGACACTACTCCAATTATTATGTCAATGTCAATATCTTAAGAGATAGGTCAATCAAATATCAGAAATTTAGATTAAGCCACATTGCCAAAATTTTTGTAATCTTTTCATCTACGAAGAATGGATTTATATATAATTTTGATAATTTAGGAAAATAAAGTAATTCAAATGTATATTATAACAAAAATATCAAGTAACCAGTTGCAATCTCTAACTTGGGAGACATCTATTGCTTGTAAATAAAACTATGTACATAATGTTTATGGTTTACATCGGAGTAGTTCGTAAGTCTTTAAATAGATGACACCGTAGTATTTTGTGAATGTAATTATTGCTAATTTATTACATCCTCAAAATTGTTATTATTAAGAGGTTGCAAATTATACGTTCCACGATGTAAACACAATTTTAAGTTTTTGTTCATATATGAGCAATTTATATGAAAAAAAATATTTAAACTAAAGCGTGGAACATGTATTTAAATTTCGACCATTTCAATATCAGTCAGGATGGCCGAGCGGTCTAAGGCGCCAGACTCAAGGAATACCTTGCCTACTATGTAGGTGTGAGCTGTTCTGGTCCTCTCTGAGGGCGTGGGTTCGAATCCCACTTCTGACAAAATGTTTTTGTTTACAAAATATACATAGCATATAAATATAAATAATGAGCCTTCTAGCAGTGTGTCCGCGGGTGGTGGACATTTCATTTAACAATTAGGTAAGCCTCCTTCCCGTTTGCTACAAATAAATGAACAATTATTATACTACGAATCTTATATAATATTATCTTTCTATAATTTTATATACCTCGCTAAAACAATATACTCTTAATAAAAATATGTTTTTGACAAATTAAAAAACCGTTAAGCCAATGTAATTATTATACTATTAAGCAAGTAAAATAAAATTCAAAAACATTTCCCGTACCGGGAATCGAACCCGAGCCTCCTGGGTGAAAGCCAGGTATCCTAGCCACTAGACCATACGGGAGTCACAATTTCAAATTTTTTTAACGAAATTAACAATTTAACGTCATCATTCATTTGAATCATAAGGAACTGCTTACATATCGACATGAATAAAGAGAACCTAATGCTTTATTCGTTTAAACAATTGCTGCTGTGACAAATTGAAATAATCAATTAAACAGCATATTATAACCACACGGTAACAATAACAATAGTTAATACTGTATTTTAAGGTTAGTTTATTTATTTATTTATTTAGTTATCGAGCTTACAACATCACACACAGTCCTAAGTTTACTAATTATTTCACAAAATCTTACATCTAAAATGTGTGACAATTAATGCAAGCATAAGTTTCTCAATAAAAAAAATCAAAGAGAAATTAAAAAAAAAAAAAACACAACTAAAACACACACGACAATACAAGCACACATTAAAATAAAATCAATTTTTTAACATAAACATAAAATAAAATTTTCGACAACTATGGCACTATGCAGAAAAAAAAGAAAAATCATCAGAAAAACAGCGAAATTAGGTTCTAGAAAGGCACCCCACAATGCTTTCTCTAAAACCGATCAGCCCACTACCGAATATATCCAGCTCTGGATACGCTGTGTTCAATTTGTTGAAATCGCGAAGAATTCGAACGAGAGGTGCCTGAACTCCTCGGTTGGTTTTGGCAGATGGAATTTGGAATATATTGTTGATTTTAAACCTAGGGAATGAGTAAGGGACGACAAATTTGATTTCCTGTAAGAGGTCATGGTTAGTAGTTTATTAAATTCATTATGATTAAAGACGGTATTCTTAGTTGAGTGTGCATAGGTTAGGGTTAGGGGTTAAAGTTGAACGACTCCTTTTTCCGCAATTAGACTCCTGATTGGTCCGTTGTGCGTTAAAAGTCCTGGCTAATTTAGCCAGCCTAGCTCCTTCCAGAAGCACAGAAGTCTCCTGGGCACTTCACAGGCTTCCCGGAGCGACCTCACTGTTCCGAGGATTTTTGCACGTTGATTAGCCACAGCCTCGCATTCCAGGACTACGTGGGTGACTGTTTCCTCTGCGCTGAAACAGCCTCTGCACAAGGGGCTGCCTGTTGCGCCTAGGACAAAAAGATGTTTATTTAGGAGGCAATGACCCGTTATTGTCCCTATCATTGTTTTAAGGTTGGTTCTATTTAAGCTTAGTAGTCGCTTTGTCAGTTGCGGGTGCACTGCTGGCATATCTGGCTGCTGAGTGTGCATATTATATGTGGGAATACTTAAAAAAGGGTGCGTGTACTTATGTACGCGCGTAAGAAGTTATACTTCTTTGGCATTATTAAAAATAGTTTGGCTTTGTTCCACCTCCAGTTTTTGATGTTTCACAGCGATAAGATGACAACTCTTTTTTTGTATTCAATTTAGTGCACTTACACTGATTCATCAATTGTTTTTTGTCTCTTGTCCTTATACATATTTGCTAGATTAAATCAGAAAAATTACATGTTTTGATTAAACAATGTGGTCATTTTTTTAATCAAAACATTACTCGATAATAATAATACATACGGATAGTTAACCTCAATTGTATTGAAGCACTTAGGAAGGTTGATCAGCACAGTTTTTTCACAAATATTAATTAGTATTGGTTTAAATATTCAATTTAAATCACTTCTGATTATAATTCAAAAAGCATTGCTAAATTTCTTTGAAAAAATTATTAAAACTCCTTTATTTGTTTAAAAGGTAAATGACAAAAGTCATTATGGTCATTCAAAATTCTTGGCATACGAACTTCACGCATATTCTATTTCTTTTTACTTGTAGATTGTCTTATTCCTATCTCGCTCGCGCACGCTATAATCACACTCCTAATTTTGTGTCACAGGTGCGCGCGCATTGTAAAATTTCACTCTCATAAATTTTTCATAACGCGCCTAAAGAAGTATAACTTAAAAAAAATAACAATAGTACCGTTATATTGGCACACGAGAGTGATTCTTACCTTAAAACATTAATGAAACAAATACACTCTCGTATTTCAAGCGAAGTACCGTTGGGATAACGATTTGTTTCAAGTATATCACAAAAATTACCTCCTAGGAATCAATATAAGTGATTGAAGCATTATTTCTCTGTATTAAATACGAATATACGTGTAAATTTGGATTATATTTTCTAACACAGAAACATAATTATTATTTAATAGAGGTTAGCATCGCCTCCGTGGCGCAATTGGCTAGCGCGTTCGGCTGTTAACCGAAAGGTTGGTGGTTCGAGCCCACCCGGGGGCGTTAAATTTTGTTATTACTCCAGTAGAATGTAAGCCGTTTTTATCGTTTTTTCTTTTCCAACATTATATATCGTATTTGCAAAGATAAAGGGGGTTATGAAATTCCCGATCCCTATATATGAAAAATAATTGAGAAGTTATTAGTTCTCCTGGTTCTTTAGGTAGGTTCTTTAACGCTAATATTAAAAGCCGTAATACAAAACTTTTTATCAGGTTATTAATTTGTTTAAATAACACTGGAATGTATGTTAATAACTAAAAAAATAAAATAACTACATAATAATTAACTACTGATTAAAGAAAGAAGAATATTTATTTAATTTCAAAGCAAAGATAAAAATACATGTTTTTGGCTTTTGAGTTAGCGTTTTTTGCGGAACTGAATGTCGCTAAAAAGTAATGAATTTTTAAAGATACTCACAAACTAAAGTAAATATTTCACATGAAGTACTATAGGGGATATAGCTCAGTGGTAGAGCATTCGACTGCAGATCGAGAGGTCCCCGGTTCAAACCCGGGTGTCCCCTAGCTTGCCTTGTTTTTTATAATATATTTTAGAAAATTTATAACTTGTATGTTTTATTTATCTCAAATATAATATTTTAAATTAATTAAAATATTTACTTGTACATAAAAGGGAACATATTTTTATAACATATTTCATTTTTTCAATTTTCTTATTCCTCAAAGCCAGAACACAAGTTATGTAAATTTCAACGAATAAAATATAACAAGTTTATCCATATTAACTGAATAGTATGTATAACCCAAACATTATAAGTATGTATGTTTTACTGTTTTACATGAAATTTTAAAATTAATTTATACCCATACTTTATAAAAATTATAACGCTTGCATTGCTATAGCTTTGTACCCCTTAATCCAATTTGATGATACGAGTAAATATTGCATATGCCGATCTCAAAAATATAAGCCCTTAAGTATGTATGTATTTGCTATATTAGTATATACACAAAATCCACGGCACTGGTGCTAATGTAAATAAACTTTACTGATGTTATAAATGTATTTAAAATATAATCAATTTAAAGAATCAAACTATAACCCGTTAGTTATATAACATGTATAAAACATAACCAGTATTGTTACTTTTATAATTGGCATATACAGTAGATTTATTAATTATTTATAATATACCAGGAAAGTATGAAGATATCCTAAGGCTAATATGTATATTATAATAATTGTATTGTGCATCAAATCCCAAACTTCACGACAATAAATCAATGAAAACAGCGTTAAGCAAATATTATTAGTTCTTAGACATATACCACCATTTCAACATTCCTTACGTAGCAGTCGTGGCCGAGTGGTTAAGGCGTCTGACTCGAAATCAGATTCCCTCTGGGAGCGTAGGTTCGAATCCTACCGGCTGCGAATCTCTTTTATATATTTAATTATTAAACAATTCATAAATATTTATTTTTGTTATTTTTGTGTACCAACCACTATTTTATAATTACTCCCTAATCGTGTTTATTTGAAACTTTAATTAAAATGTTTAATTAAAAGATAATAATAAATTAATTTTATCACACCGCGTGTGGCATTATAATTAAGTATTTATTTTCTTTACATTATATGAAACGAAGTCGTTTACCACTGTCTGTACGCGTAAATCTTTTAAACTTTGCTTAAAAAGTATGTGACAATGATAGCATTGGTCCGATGAGATTTGTCGTCGAGAATATTTTGCTTCTGGCGACGCGACGGTCCGTCCATGCACGGCACGTAATGCCTTAACCCCAGCCCGCGTCTGAGGGCAAAACGTTGACTGTTCTAAGATGTCGTCTATCTTCTAGTATCCGATATTTTAAATGTTACTCAATATTTGATTTAATTGCAATTTCATTTTACGGAAAGATGTAAACAGAAATGTCTGCACAAAAGACAACTATATCCACGCAAGAGAACCATATCTGGATACCGATACAGAGACAAAACAAGGATGAAACGCACATGCTAGATTCTCAAAATCTTTTTATAACACTTCGATACCCAGTTCAAATATTTTAATAGGTAGATAGTTTGGATTGCGCCCAAGTGTGAGCAGACTTTTATGCTGAAATTAGTAAAGCTTAAAAGATCTCCTGAATTAACATGTAACGATTTGCGTGCCCTTTTGCTTGAACGCACAGTAAATTAAGATCAAAATTACTATAAGTACGAAACCTTCTATTGCACCGAGAAAGAAGCTAAGCCGTAAGCAAAGTCCTAATTCAAGTCAGTCTAGGTACTTATTTCATTTTCTATTTTAATATGGAACTGGCTCATCCTTATCCGTAATTAACTCATTACCGATTACATGTTATTCAGTTCACATATAAGCAATTATTTAAATAAAACCTTCCAATCGCTGAATAAAATTTGTCTTATAATGTGGGAACCGGTTAATTTGTCAAATGTGTGCCTTCCCAATTCTAATTTAACTGCCTGTTCTTATTTTGGATACGCTTTCCTAAATCTCATAGTTAATTTGTATGGAAAGCCACAATTTGAAAACACAGAGAACAAACATTTCTGTAATGAGACGTACGATTTTATTATTGTTGGTGCCGGGACATCTGGGAGCGTTCTTGCGAAACGGTTAAGTGAAAATTCTAAGTGGAGGGTAAGTATAGATCCAGAAGTTATAGAAAAATAGATATTCTACCCTTAGAACACTGGTTCCGTTACGATTTCTCCTTTACCATACTAAGCTAGACTTTGAAATAAAACAAAAAGGGGAATAACAATTCCAGGGGTTCGAACGCTTGACCTCAGGTTCAGTATCGCACACTTAATAAGGTACTCCTAATAAAACTGAAATGATAAATATTAGATTATAATTTTAAAAATAAATTACGTTGGCAACTCTACTGAGAAAAAACAAAAAACTAATTAATTTACTCCCAATTAATTTACTCTTCTAAATACTGGATATATAGCAAACTTAAACTATCAGCACATTTTAAAATTTACAAAATACTATAATGAACCCGTTTAATGTTAGAAGTGGCAATACTATATTGATATATTAATGACTTTCGAAAATATTATTAATTGTATTGCTAATTAAAAAATAACTTCCAATTTTTTGGTCAAAGACAAAATCATTTATTCATATAGGTAACACAATTTACACTTATGAACGTTAAAAAAGATATACATTAAATGCTTCTAATTTAGCATTTGCTGCCAGTTCTCAAATCAAGGGCGTAGAACGGAAGAGAAGAACTGGCAAGTTTTTTGTTTTACACAACGTTTGTAAGGAGCTGCAACCATATGGAACATGGTGTGAGAGAGAGAGAGAGGGTGTATATAAAAATAAGCTGCTAACTAAAATCCTAGTTTTTGTACTAATTGTGCGTTTCTTACATGTAGTTATTGCTTCTGCTCGTATGGTACACATTGTAAACACAGTACTATAATTTTATTCTCAGTATACAATAATACTTTTGTAATATAAAATATAACTCGTGTAAAATATAATATATCAAAGGCAACTAAATTAAATGAAGTAATTCGATTAACCGTATGGAATGTTGACGTTTAGTTAGTTATAGCATGATCGTACAGATGGCGTGGAGTTCATTTATTATTTAAAATTAAATTTTATTAAAGAAATTAAATAACTTTTTGTAATTTTATTTATTCAAGTATCTCGATATAAGTTTTTATAGTAATACGTTGAATGTACTAAATAATAGGGTTAGTCAATATCAATATATAATATATTTGATATGGATTACGGAGCCAAGCGAACGACAGACAGCGCTTAGCCTGATTCCCGTATGTCAAAAATGTATTTGAGTTTGGCTAATGAAAGAAGATAACGAAAAAGCGCGGCAAATTCAAAAAAAATTAGTATGTTATCCCTAAAAGTTTGATATATTTTGTGGATTAAATTTACTTAAAACTTGATTTTATTTTATTATTTTTTACATTGATAGTAACTGTATTTCTATGAAATTATTTACTAAAATGACTAGCATTGCATGGAAAACTAAAACTATATTTATTATAAAACACAACTTTATTCGGAATAATCAAATCCTGCGAGAGAAACGAAATATTTTATCAAATAAAACAAAGTTTAGGCCTGGTTTAAGTTAAAGTTAGTTAGTTTAAGTTAGTTAGTTTAGTTTAAGTTTAGTTTATACCTGTTAACTATTCGGAAAAAATATATAATATAAATAAAAATGAGTAATTGTCATGAAGTATCAAGACAATAAATCATACTAACCTAAGAACTTCAATGACATTCTGTGTTGCCATCCGAAAGATTTAAATAATTCAATTATCTTCTTTCATTAGCCAGACATTTTGATTTTAGACATACAGGAGTAATAGGCCGCGTTGTACATCGTAATCTCTACGCCATTATGTAATTTGTATGATAATTATAGGTACTCTTATTAGAAGCGGGTGGCGAAGAACCAATAGTAACAAATATTCCGAGTTTGTCTTCTGCCCTCTTAGGATCAAGTTCTGATTGGCAGTTCACCACAGAGCCTAACGGGAAAAGTTGTCTGGCAAACAATGGAAGATGTCCTTGGCCAAGGTATTATGGGCAATTTTATATTAGTTATTGTAAATTTAAATGATTAAGTAGTAAATGTAGCATGAATCCGATTATAGTTTAATATTGAATTGGTCCATACAATTTAGAAGACTATTGCCAACGTCCATACCACGTTGAATACACCGGTTCTCGTCCGATCACCGAAGTTAAGCAACGTCGGGCGTGGTCAGTACTTGGATGGGTGACCGCCTGGGAACACCACGTGATGTTGGCTTTTTGCATTTCCTTTGTTTTTTATAATTAAATAATTTTTAAAACTATTTAGACCTTTCAAGTTAGAGTATTATATAACATACTTAAGTAGACGTTAAACGTGTACGATAAGTTGTATTTTTGTGTTGTGATTATTTTTTAGCGATTTCACAACTCGTGGTACAACGATATTTTTTGTTAAATAAATTCAATATTAAGATGTATTAATCATTTACAGAGGCAAAGGTATGGGGGGTTCGAGTTCTATAAATTCAATGTCATACATCAGAGGCAACAGAGGTGATTACGACCACTGGGCAGAACTAGGAAACGTAGGATGGGCATACGATGACGTAAGACGGATTGTTATTAACAATAGTCTATTGCTATACATAAACATTAATTTGTACTTATTTACATGTGCTAAATAGGCAATGTACAATTGACCACTTATAAAACGTCTTTACAGTCGGATTCATTACTAGGCTTACATTATATTGAGGCGCAATCGCTTAAATACCTTAGGCTTAATGATTGATTTTTGTTCAATGTTGGCCTAGTGGCTTCAGGGGCAACTCTTATCCTTGAGGTCGTAAGCTCGATCCCGGCGGTGCACTAATGGACTTTCTTTCCATTGGGCATTTAATATTCACTCGCACATGGAAGGAAACATCGTAAGGAAACCGACCTTAGACCCAAAAAGTCGACGGCGTGTGTCAGAGATAAGAGGCCTATTAGATTGACAAATGATCATGAAACAGATATAGAAATTTAGGCCCAGACTTAAGTATATAGTTTTCGCATATTTGCCCTTGGGTTCACGCTAAAGGCATCCTACCACCAGTTTTTTAAAACAAGAAGGATAAACTAAGTACCTACTTAACAATACTGGCATGGTTTTTATTATATTTGGCGTAAGAACCCTATGTAAGTAGCATCCGAGTTTCCTGTTGAGATAAAAACATTCTAATAATATCAGTTACCGTTTAAAGTATACTTTATCTGTTATAATTTGATATGTATACTAATGTATATATAAAACTTGCAGGTTTTGCCATATTTCAAAAAATCCGAGCGTAATCTACAACCAGAAGTCGTAGAGCCTTATTATCATGGCTTTAAAGGTGAACAACCAGTTGCCAGATATCCTTACATTGACCAGCCATCAAAGATGCTTACTGCCGCTTTTATTGAACGAGGGCTGCCATTAATTGATTATAATGGAGCAAAACAAGAAGGCGTCAACCAGGCGCAAGCATTTGTCTCAAATGGTCAAAGGCGTTCCGCAAACAAAGCATTTTTAGAACCCATCAGGAATAAAACGAAAAACCTTGTTATAAAAATTAATTCTAAAGCAACTAAAATTCTCATTAAAGACATGAAAGCTTATGGAATTGAATATGAAAATAACGGCACAGTTTTCACTGCGTTCTCAAGTAAAGAGGTGATTATTTCTGCAGGAGCCATAAATTCACCACAACTACTGATGTGGTCAGGAATCGGTCTCAAAGATCAGTTAGAAAGTGTTGGGATTCCAGTCGTGAAAAATTTGTCCGTTGGTAAGAATCTTCACGATCATGTCACATTTAATGGTGTCTATATTGCACTACCAAATAGAACAACAACAAGAGTAAGTAACGAAGAAGTATTTAGGTACGTTGAAAACTTCTTTGAAATGGATCCAAAACAAAATCCATTATCTGGTAACGGACCGCTTAATACTATTGCATTTTTGAAATCAAAGCCAAATCTCAAGTACCCTGATGTGCAGTATCAAGTTGGAAGTATACATTCTTGGAGAGAATTGGTAGCTAATCTGACATCCTATTTGAAAGTACAAACTCTCCCAACAGCATTTTACGATTGCCTGTCTCCGAGAGCAGAAAACTTACAACCGAAAAGTCGTGGAGACGTGCGCCTGAATCCCAAAGACATCTACGGTTATCCTTTGATAAATCCGAATTATTTTGGGGAGGAAGTGGATTTGCTAGCTCTACTCCGCGGTGTGGATTTCATATTATCTTTGCGTCATACGAAAGCGTTTAAGGAAAGCGGAGCGTATTTTATTGAAATACCATTACCGCCTTGCGATAAGTATAAATGGGGAACGAAGGACTACTTTATATGTTTGATGAAAACTTTCACAGGAAGTACATATCATCCAGTTGGGACTTGTAAGATGGGCCCGGAGTGTGATTCAGAAGCTGTAGTAGATTCAAAATTAAAAGTGTATGGAGTTGATAGATTGAGAGTAATTGATGGGTCAATAATGCCACGGGCTCCATCTGGAAATACTAACGCAGCTTGTCTTTTAATTGGGGAACTTGGTGCAGAATTCATTATTAACTATTGGACACAAAAATCTACATAACTTTTACTTTTTTAGACAGTTTTAACTTTTAAGCTTGTCACTAAAAATTATAAAATATAATTATTATTTAATAAATTGAGCTACTAATCAAAAGGGTTTGTTTTATTTAAAACATTTGAATGCTGCAAAGAATAAAACACTATAATCTTGCTATATTTTATTGCTAAATCTCTAGATTATCTACAAATGTACAAAACACGTATGAAAAATCAGTAAAATTTAACAATCCTTAATAATTCTTACAAGTACAATACTCCTTCTCTCATAATTATACAACGTTAAAATACAAAGTATAGCCAAAGTGGCGTGATATTATACAATGTACAAGGTTACGTCTAAAAGTCCATTTGGACAACGTAACACTAGATGGCGTTGTACGCCGTAGCGAAACAAAAACCAATAGTGGTTAAACTTTTTTCCAAAAAACGTTATAAGATAATTTCACTTCTCCGGAAGTTTAATAACTGGAATCTGTGAGTAGCCCCAATTTGTCTCGCAGTGGTTAATTAAATCTTTCTCTGCTTCTGAGAGAATTGTTAAGTCCATTTCACAGCAATCACTGAAGGGGTCCAGAAAGGGATAATGTATAAGGACGCAGCTAAAGTCCAAAGACGTTTTACAGCAACCCAAAAGGTTCTTTAATTTATCCTCAGAATCCACCTGGAAACAATAATGAAAAAAGTATTATTATTTTTTCAATAAAATTGGGTTTCTAATAAACTATATGACCATGTTATGTTTGTTTTGAGATCCTTTTTATTATGTACTTTAAAAACTCTTTGTGACTCATGGAGCTCCTTTATACTTTAAAAATTCTTTATGAATCAAGATTTGTTTTTGAAATTATATTTACCTTTATGGTATAAATTTCATTTTCCATACAAAAGGCCTGTAGAAGAACTTCTTGCATGTGAGTAGCACTGTCTCCTGGCCTTGCCTCTGCTTGTATACAGAATAGTGCTCCTCGACTATTCGTAGACAGGTATTTCAGTGCCGGCATCAGTCCTATGGTTAACCTTTTCTCTAAACAGGCTCGCCTTAATACTGTCTCGATACATTTGCTAATAGGGCTGTAAAGAACAAAATAATTAATATAGGGAAGAAAAAAAATAAAAAAGTTGAACTCCACGGCGGGGAATCGAACCCCGGTCTCCCGCGTGACAGGCGGGGATACTGACCACTATACTACCGAGGATTGTATCAAGAGGAACGAAAATTTCAAACTGTTGCTTTATTAAAAACATTAATAATTATAAAGAAATACATAAAAGTATATTTATTGTTTGTTGCTGAATTATGAGGATTAAAATTAAGGAATGTATCCATTTACTAAATTATTAATTACACGAGGCGTATTCGTGTAAGTAAAAGTATACAATAATATATATATATATATATTATATATACTTTCAATGTGAAAGCTTTCATTCTTAAGTTATATTTTCTTTAAAACCTTATTATGATTTAATTGTGCAATATTGGAAAACACATTGTCTAATTCATAAAGTTCTTTTGCTAATTAGTAATTATCGAGGAAAAAGAGAATAAAAATATTAATTACCTTTTGGCCACAATACCACTGAAAGACTCCATTTTTACAGGAACTACTGAATCGTTGTACATTTTGGCGGTTTTTAAATTGATACTTTTCAATTTTCCACAAATTTTTGTTAATTGAAACACGTTGCAAGTAATTTTCACTGTCACTAAGCCACAGCACACAACACAAGATCCTTATTATCAAGTATCGTCGGCAATGTCACAATAATTTCACAACTTTTTACAAGCGACTAACGTTATTTAACAGCGAGAACTAAAGACTCAATGGCGAGCACACACGCAATAGAGGCATTTATATAAAGACCCCACGCATGCGCACAAAATGAGCTTGTGTGCGTGTATATTACTATACTATAGAGTATATGAATATGTCGAATGGTCAGTGTAGTGAGAGATTCTCCGAAATTCGCACGAATATCGATGTAGTAGTGTTTTCAGATAGCAAACTTGTATGTGCTAGTGTACAACATTTCTTTGAATAGAATGTGTAGTGTTTAAGCATGTTTTATCGTGTTTAAAGTGAATGTCTACTAAAGTGAGCGCTACCCTGCCCCTCTGTGCTGGTTCAATTCAAGGTGTCTAAGGGGCAAATCGACGACCATTTGATATAAGGTGGTTATCAATGCGTATTCTTTGTATAACGAAGTTCATGTTGTATTAAGACTGCGTCTGTGTGAGTGCGTGTTCTCCGCGCGCGCGAAACAGCATTACGGAATTACCCAGCGTATTGGAAGGAAAACTGAAATCCAGCCGGTTTTTTTTATTACCTAACTTGGGTTATTTGACGGATACTGCATTTTGCAATTAGGAATTGCATAGCCTTGATTAATTCATGTTTATAAAAAATGATAATAGGTAGCTACATTTGTTTTCTTTTAAGTTTTTGTTTGTTTATTTTTATTGTATTAACTTTTAAGGAAAAAATGTCACAGCGGGACAAGTGGCGATGTAGCTTAAAGCTAAATATGTTTTAGAAGCTGGGTCGAAATATAATTACAGAATTAACATAGACCAAAAATACAATGGAATGTCCTTAATCGATATTTTGTATGTTAATCAATTAATCTAATACTTCATTTAACAATTTAGACAATTATTACATAATTATCATATCACGATTAAAACAAAGACAATGTGTTAGATAACACCGCTTATTTAATAATCAATACCTAAGGTTAATAGCATCAGTCATGCAGTTATTGTTTGTAAACAATGAGTCGTACTTTCCTAGGGTCTCTAGTCAATATAATAATAATGTGCTTTAAAATGTATCGCGAGTCGCAACAGGAAAATTTATAAAACGGGGGTTTCTAGTTCCTTATCTCAGGCTGCGAGGCTTTTAACGCTTTGCTGTTGGGAAATTCATTGGGTGTGTTACAATACAATTTTATTTTGCAAAAACGATAGATCTATCAAAGTTATTAGAGCTTTTGGTCTCAGTGCTTTAACCCTTTACTCTTATTAGCTAGATTTTTTTATTACTTTGCATACTTATAGTAACTCATGAGTTTTAATGTTGTAGGTAACAAAGAACAGATTATTATTGTATACTTAAAAATCTAGCATTTTTTGCTGAGAGTTTTAAGGCCTGCTTACCTAAATGTCATTACCAAATATACAGATCTAGATTACATAATGTAATCCTCATTTTATCTAAATAAATCTACGTTTTAAGCATTGTCAAATATGTCTATATTCCTTTAGAATATACATCAAAAGTGTAAGGATGGAAAATCCGCGAATAAATTTCTACTTAAGTATTGATAAAGAAATTATAATGAATATGATAAGTATTGAAGAGCTATACAGGCCGTGATAGAGTTTTGATATGGCCCCCTTTATCTATTTTTATGTAAATAATTAAATTATATTCTATGTACATAGGAAGTAAACACGTGAATATATTTTATTTATTTTTTAACTTAAGGACAATTTTTAACTAGTATGTTTTAGGGCCGCCGTACACGGACTGCTTCAAGCAGTTGAGACCGACTGCTTAAAGCCGCGACCGCGCAGTGAACTATAGTCATTCATTCGCTGCCGTACACACGACTGCTCGAGCAGTCGCGACCGCTTCAAGCCGTCAACTGCATGATGAAATTCCATCGTGCCGTCGACCGCTCGCGAGCGGTTGCGAGGCATACACCGACTGCTCGAGCCGTTGACTGCGCTAGAGCAGTCGACAGCTCTCCGACTTCCCTCTCCCCCCGCCCTTTGCGGCCTCGCGGCGTCTGTTTTCTCATTTGCCGGCTGTTTTTTGAACATGGAGGGCGTGTGCGATAGTGATGCCCTTATTAGCGCAATTAAAACGCAAGAACTTATTTGGAACTATAAACTTAAGGAACACAGCGACAAAATAAAGAAGAACAATGCATGGGCAATTATTTGTGCCCAAGTAATTGAGAACTTTGATGAAAAACCAGTTGAAGAAAAAAATCAAATCGGTAAGTAAAAAAAGTCAGTCATTTAACACACACATTTATTATTTTATTTATTATTAAAAAACAGACTGGTAACAATATAATAGTTGTTTTGCTTCTTATTATATTTTTAATATTTAAAAGAATACAGAGGCTATGTTATACGGACGGCGCCCTTTTGATTTATATCATATTCCATTGCCAATCTAGTTTGCCTTCTTCGCTCACAAAGTAATTAGCAAATTCTTCACGGATTGTTGTTAACATAGGTCCACCTGGACGAACTTGCTGGGTTGAATGTATTATAGAATAAGGAAGACCCTCAAACGTATCCTCAAATTTATTTCCATCTCGTTGTTTTACGTAGTTGTGAAGAACACACGATGATTTTACTATATCCACTGCGAAATCAACGTTGACGTTGAGTGGTCTATGAAAGATCCGCCATTTATTAGCTAATATGCCAAACGTGCATTCAATATATCGCCTCGCACGTGATAACCGATAGTTAAAAATTTTTTTTTTCTTGGTAAATTCTTGCCACCATATGGACGCATTAAATTTTCCTGCAAGCTAAACGCTTCATCCCCAATAAACACATTCGGTAATAACGGTCCATTTTGTGATATTGCAGAAGGTGGAGGTATATTTAACTTTTTTTCTTGTAACATTTTATATAGACAACTCTCTTCGAAAATAGTCGAGTCAGCGTGCCTTCCATATGAGCCTATATCCACGAAAGTGAACATATGATTACTATCACATACTGCTAGAAGTATTATCGAAAAATAATTTTTATAGTTATAATATGACGATCCACTTTGCGCGGGTTGTATTATTCTAATATGTTTGCCATCAACGGCACCGAGGCAGTTCGGAAACTGAGCATTTTTTTTTGAAACCATTTATTATGTCTTTCCACTTATCTTTAGTTAGTTGTTCCATACACATATCCTTCATATGTATCCATATATTTCTGCAAACATCCCTCACTATCTTACCTATTGTTGTTGATGCTATTCTAAAACTATATTGCAAATCCATAAATGTACATCCAGTTGCCAAATACCTGTAAAACATATTTATAAATCAATCAATTATACTAACTTATATTTTTTTGTTGTTACAGCCATGTTAATACAGAAAAAAATGGAAAACATTAAGAGATGGATACACCAGATATGCTAAAAAAATTAAACCAAAGAGTGGTTCAGCAGCCCTCAACATTCGGCCATATGCATATTATCAGCAGATGTCTTTTTTAAAGGCAATAATAGAAGATAGACCCGACAAAACAAATAGTTTACAAGAGAGTGAGCACACTGAAATTACGTCCGGAGAAACCGAAAATGGTCAAAATAAAATACCCAGAGAAAGAAACAAAAGAAAATTAACTACTAAAATCACAGATGAGAACGTCTTAATTGAAAAATTATCCAAACGTTTAGATGAAAAAACGCAGAATTCGCGCATTGATAATGAAGATGAAGATAAATTGTTTTTACTATCATTAGTTGGCGAATTCAAAAAAATTAATGAGCATTATAAATTAGATGCTAAGACCGAAATACTTAACGTAGTGAAATACTTTAAAGGGATGACAAATCACACATATCCTTCGAGTTATGGTGACAGGGGATATTCATCGTTTAATGATTATCGTGGACCATGGGGTTATAATACTGGCCCCTCTACCTCTACATCAGTGCCTGGTCCCTCTAGATCAGCAACCGGCCCCTCTACATCAATGGCTGATGACCAAAATTCTCAATTTGAAGACCTTTCATCATGTTCTGTAATGTCCGATGATGTAATTTCCAATATTTTTAATGAATAAAAATTTAAATAATTACTATATATTTTTCTTACCTCAATGTTACTGCTAGTCTTTCTTCAGGTTGGATACTTCTCCTCATAATTGTGTCTTCCCGTTTAATGTGAGACTTTAGTATATTATACAATTCATCAAACGAAGACTTTGACATTCTAAAATAGTTGAAAAATTTTTCTTCATCACTTCTAAGTTCCATAAACAAATGATGGAATTGTCCACGTTGTTCTCTTAATTGCAAAATTGGATGAACCCAAAATTTTCTCTTTTGACGTCGCCGCCGTCGTCTCCGCCTGAGCAGGAGCAGCAAAAGCAGTGCTTCCTCGTCAGAATCCATGACTCGACTATGGTAGAAAATCAACTGCTCGAGCAGTTGAGTCGTAGCTCGAGCAGTCAACAACCGACAGCTCAAGCAGTCGACGCCGACCGCTCGAGCGGTCCGTGTATTTCACTCAGCCGCTAACTGCTCGAGCAGTCCGTGTACGGCGGCCCTTAGGATTTTTAGGTTATTTTAAACATTTGTTGTACAGACAAGTAATGTAGATACTTATCAGTAAGTAAAAGGTAAGTTATTCCATAGCAAAACTTGAACTTAATAAGTCATAGCGTTGTTCTGTGACGTTCTTTTCGCATAATATGTAGCTGCTGCAGTTTCTCTGAAAGCTTGATATAAATTATAATGGGTGCTTAACCCATTATAATTGAAGATTTTTTCAAGTGGTTTGAATTGAGTGTAATGTTGGTGTAAACACTAATTTCAAAGTGGGGAAGTTATTTTGGAATAACTTATATATTTGGAATATAATTATATC